AAAAACAGTGTACATATTGATGAGTGACTTCAGAGGGTAGGGGATAAAAGGTACTGCAAGACTTTCTCTTTGCTCTCTCTCTTGGATTACTTACTCATAGGAAGCTAGCTGCCATGTTGTGATGACACTCAAGCAACTCTACAGAGAGGTCCATGTGGTGAGGAACTGAGGCCTTCTGTCAAGAGCCAGTAACAAACTGAGGCCTCCAGCCAACAGCTATGTGAATGAGCAATCTTGGAGGTGAATCCTCCAGTTTAAATCAAGCCTTCAGATGACTGAGGTCTTGGCCAACATCTTGACTGCAAGTTCACGGGAGACTCTGATCCAGAGTGGCCCAACTAAGTCACTCCGAAATTCCTAACCCACAGAAAATGTGAGATAATAAATGTTTGTTGTTTTAAGTCAACAAAGTTTGGAGTAATTAATTATGCAGCAAAAGATAACCAGCATAGGAAGCATCATTACAGATCCTACAAACATTAAAAGTGTAATAAGAATATATCATAAATAACTTTAAGCTAATACATTAAAAAACCTGGATGAAATGAAAAATTACTTGAATGATACTATCAAAGTTCACTCAGGTGGATGTAAACCCATTGCCATGGAGTCGATTCGACTCATAGTCACCCTATCAGACAGAGGAGAATTGCCCCATAGGATTTCTGAGGCTGTAATATCTAAGGAAGCAGACTGCCACATTTTTCTCCCACGGAGCAGTACGGGAGTTCAAACAGCTGACCTTTTGGTTGCAGCTGAGCGCGTAACCACTGCACCACCAGGGCTTCTTCAAGAGTATACAGATAATCTGATAATACAGAATCACCTTATCTTTAACCACAAATGGAACATATACAAAAAACTGAATATATATTAAGTCACCAAAAAAAAAGATCAGTAAATTCTATAGAGTAGAAATTTTACTGTCTAATCATAAAACCAGAAATTAATAACAAAACAAAAAAAAAAGGACTTTCCACCAGAAAAATTTTAAGACCATCTATCACATTTCCTACGTGTCAGGGGCATTATAAATTGAAATTACATTACTTCTCAAAAAATGATGACAAAAACACTGTGTCAGCAACTATCGGGTACTTTTAGGGCAGAGATAAGAGCAAACTTCATTACCTTAAAAAGTTCCATCAATAAAAATGTACTCCCACTGGCCAAATATGGGAAATTTGAGTATCAAAATAAATAACAAGAAATGGGTTATAGCAGTCCTGGTGACGCAGTGCTTAAAGCGCTCCGCTGCTAACCAAAAGGTCACTGATTCGAAATCATCAGCAGCTTCGTGGGAGAATGATACGGCAGTCTGCTTCCATAAAGATTTACAGCCTTGGAAACCCTGTGGGGGCAGGTCTACTCTGTCCTATAGGGTTGCTGTGAGTCGGAATCGACTGAACGGCAATAGATTTGGTTTTGGTTTTTTAATGGGTTATAATCCATTAAATATTTTTTTAAAAAAATCTGAGTCCATTCTAATATGGATAAATAAATGAGAAAGGGAAAAGTACTCCTTATAATGAAATGCCATATTAATAAATATAGAAGAAATGACAGAGTTGGAAATTTATCATTTGGCAACCATCACAGCAATAAATGATGCAAGCAAAGGTCAACAGATGCTAAAAGTAAGGAGAGGGGGTAAAAGTTTGATGTCTCAGAGTACCTCCCAAAAAGCACTTCTTAATTACAGAGGAAAAATCTGGTAGCGGCCTCCTTAATCAGGTGAGACTCAACATTCTTTCTGCAGTATCCCTGCCAGAAACGCATAACCTATATTTAATGGTGAAGCATCAGTCAAACCCAAAAGGAAGGACATTCTACTTAATAACTGGCCTGTACTCTTGAAAAATGAGAGGTTTTTGAAAGACTGAGAAATTGTTCTAGATTAAAGATGAAAGAGACATGAAAATTATAAAAATGAAAAAAAGACATGAAAATTAAATACAATGTGGGATCTTGCTTTGGATAGAAGAGGAGGCTATGAAGGATGTAATTTTAACCATTAACAAAATTTGGGAATGAATTTCAGGTAAGATAGCGGTACTGGATGATTGTTAAATTTCCTGATTTTGATCATGGTAGTGGGGCTATGTAGGTGTCCTTTTCCTTATGCAGTATACCATGAAGCATTTAGGGGAAAAGGCATACTTCTGAGACTTAATCTCAAATGGTTCAGGGAAAAAAAATGTGTATACGCTCACCCATAAACACACATTCAGGATGAGAAATGAAATGTGACAAAGTATTAACTGGTGAATATGGGTAAAGTGTATACTTGACCTCTTTGCACATTCTTGCAAATTTTCTGTAAGTTTGAAATCATACATAAACCAAATCTGATCAGACAAAATCAGCTCTACCAAACAAAGCAACATTAAATAAAGTCGTTAAGATTTAAACCAGTTGCTTGGGGCAAGTATAAATTGGAATTGTAGCTACAGCAAGGGTGGTGAGGAAATTTCACCTCAATTTTGATGGCTACACGTTTTGTAAATTAAGCGGCTTTGATAAAAGACACCTATGAGGTAAAGCACTTTCTTTAAAGTGCCTAAAATTATGTATAACATGGCTCCCGAAAAAAAAATGTAACTTGGTAATACCTTCTCAACTTTTCTAATCATCTGAAAGTGACCAATGTTTTCAACTGGGTAATTCAAGACCAACACTTTCAACTGGGAAATTAAAAAAAAAAAAAGATTAACTTTACATTTTTTAACCTCTACTTTGTGGGATGGTCCCAATGAATTTGAAGACAAATGGAGAAGGCCAAGCACACTGTCCATAAACTGTTCTCTAATCACAAGGCATTCTGATTAGCTTCACACCTTCTACTACTCTTAAAAAAAACCAAACCTGTTGCCTCCAAGTGATTACAACTCATGGCAACCCCATGTGTTACAGAAACTGCTCCATAGGGCTCTCTTGACTGTGATCTCTATGGAAGCAGATCCTCAGGCCTTTCTTCCGTGGTGCTCCTGGGTGGGTTCCAGTGCAAACTTGCGCCACCAAGGGACCCTACGATTCTCGTTGGTAGGTGCCCTCGAGTTGTTCTCAATTCATGTGACAAAGCAGAACTGCCCTATTGGGTTTTCCAGGCTGTGATCTTTATGGAAGCAGGTAACCAGGTCCTTCTCCTGTGGAGCTGCTGAGTGGGTTTGAACCCATCAACCTTTTGGTTAACAGCTGAGCACCTATCCATTGTGCCACCAGGGCTCCTTACACTTAGGGGCGGGTAGAAGTTTCACTTGGCAAGCAAATTTGGTAATTCACTTAGGATTTTTGAAAGATTATTATTGTATGACTTGAGAAGCCTTCAAAACATATGGTAATTCCTAGGATATTGCCCCTGTCCTCAGAGATTTTGTGTGGTGGTGGGAGAGAAAGATGGTGTTGAGTCAGTGAAGAAAAGTCTATATTTAATCCTAACCTAAGGTATCCTGGTGCAATGCAGTGGGGAAAGTCTGGGACTGAAATCAGATAGCCTGAGTTTAAAATATTCTAACGTGATTGTGGACAACTTACTTAACCTCTCCACCTTCCCATGCCTTGATTTCCTCAAATATCACAACAGGAATAATAATTTTTAAAACCACCCGTTTAAAAGTACTGAGGATTAAAGGAGATGCTACACCTGGAAAGCACTTTGCAAAGTTCAAAACTCTGTATTTGTGTTAAAAATGAGTCCGACTCATAGCAACCCCATAGAACAGAGAACTGCCCCATAGGGTTCCAAGGATCGGCTGGTAGATTCAAACTGCTGACCTTTGCGTTAGCAGCCAGCTCTTAACCACTGTGCCACCAGGGCTCCTTATGTTACTACATGTAAAAAAAAAAAAAAAAAAAATCCACATGAGGAGTCACTAGGTAATCAAGCCACTCAGCAAAGGTAATCAATTCAGTTGTGAAAATTCCCTATAAAACACTGCAACTAGATGTGTTCAGGTACACGTAGCCAAAATGAGGTTTTCCTCCAAAACGTTTCTTGAGGAAATGCGAATATAACTTAAACCTCTAATGGTTACTAGTAGATAAACCAGAGCCCAGTGGTGCAGTGGTTAAGAGCTCGGAGGCTAACCAAAAGGGTCAGCAGTTCGAGTCCACCAGCTGCTCCCTGGAAACCCTATGAGGCAGTTCTACTGTGTCCTATAGGGTCGCTATGAGTCGGAATCAGTAAGGGGTTTGGTTTTTTTGTTCCTGGGCCATGGTACCTATATGTACCACGTGTGATGTGCTTCATGGAACATGGTACCAATACGGCCTACTCTAAATCAAACTGCTAACAATTTTATGTGCAGCAAGTGCAATGCCTATTTACTATTTCGTGAGTATTTTCGTGTATTTTTGGAAAGCTGAGTAACATATTTTATGGCTCAAGTACAAGCAGAAAGTGGGATGCACTTTCTGGGCCGTGGTACCAATTTTTACCGCGTTTGTGATGTTCTTCGTGGAACATGGTACCAATATGGGCTGCTTGCAACTGGTACCGCATTTTTCCAAATAATAAAAAAATTGCCAACAAACAATGATTAGAATTCATTCCATTAGTGAAAAATGGTGGCATCACAAAAAAATTCTCCCCCCAAAAATATCAACCACAAAAGTGTTGACAATGATTCCTCTGTGAACTGCCACTAATACGGGGCCGGGGGGAGTGCTGGAATGAGGCCAACACTGCAAAAAACACCACTTTACCCTGGAGCAGACACTCAACAAGCTGAGGCAAAGCTCCAGACGAGACACGGCCAGGGGGCGTGGCCCCGGGGCCACGCCCCCTCCTACGTCACACGCCGGCGCGGGCGACCCTGGCTCAGGCGTGCGGCGGCGCGGGGCAGCGCTTCTAAAACCTCCGCTCGAGGGTGAGCTGCTCCGCCGGCCTTCTCGGTGCCCGCGAGCCCGGACCGCGCCTCTCCCGTCACAGACCTCCGCGAGCGGAGCTGCGGCGCCAGAGGGAGGCTCTCCTGGCCAGAGAGCACGAGCCGGGATAGTACCTGAGCCGAAATGAATCCCTCATAGACGGTTTTCTCTCGGTTCTGAGGCAGAAGCAACGGGCACTGGCGCAGCAGGCTCGTTTCCATCACCGCCAGAGCTCGGCGTCCGCGGAGCCGCAGGCGAGTTAGAAACAGGACCGGACCCCGCACATGCGCTGTCCCGCTGCCTCCCGGAGCCCCAAGAGGCGGAAACCCGAGCGTTGGCGGGAAAACGCCTGGCGGCCTCCGCAGGCGGAAGCGGAAGTGGAGGTCTAGTGTTGGCTGGGTGGGCGGGGCTCGGGCAGGCGGGAGCAAAGAATGCGTTCAAGTTCACAGCTCTGCGTTCCAGCCTTGATTGTCCCAAGAACACTTTTGAAGATTTTGTTTGACTTTATGGAAATACTGCCACAACTTTGGGGTTTCTTGCAGTATAGGATGGTTTTGCAGTCAGGGTGTTGTAGCATTTCTGCTACCCAGAACCAGTCACCCCCCACCCCCCGCCTTCCACGATGAAATCCCTTAGTGGTCTCTCCTGTATGCCCCTCAGTCACGGAATTATTACAATATATAACAATATATTACATTGTTATATTACCTTCAGTATATCATTTACAATATATTTCTGTGCCTTACCAAGTTTAATCTTAGATAAGTTTGAGAGACCCAAATTATACATGTAATACATAATCTATTGAGACTCAGTTCTGATCTACTGTCCTCAGAAATATCTAGTGCAAAATATGAGGGGAAATTGCTGATGGACTTAATGAACCTTTGGTAATTTATCTCCCTGTATTTTTCTAACTCAGATCGGTAATCATTCCTTCCCTTTTACGAATTGCTGATTAAGGAACTTATTAATACTTACCATGCAGTTATTTGATATTCCAATTAGTGTTCAATGCATCAAATTTTTTGAGACCTGCTATTTGCGAAACATTGCAATAGGCCAACATCTGTGCAAAGATATATAAGAGATGACCCTTCCCATATTTATTGTTGTTGTTAGGTGCCATCGAGTAGGTTCCGACTCATCGCGACTCTGTCTACAACAGAACGAAACACTGCCCAGTCCTGCACCATCCTCAAAATCGTTGTTATGCTTGAGCCCATTGTTGCAGCCACTGTGTCAGTCCATCTCATTGAGGGTCTTCCTCTCTTTCACTAACCCTCTACCAAGCATGATGTCCTATTGCCCTCAAAATGTACTACAGTAAGAATTCTTAAAAATGCTTAAGATTTGACAAGAATTGTCACAGTATTGTGGATATTTAGGGGAAAACAGGAATGCTGCAGCAGTGGTTAAGTATGAATTACACGAAAGCAGTAGTCCCAAAATGTGGTCCCAGAACCAGCAGCATCAGCATCACCTGGGAACTTGATAGAAATGCAAGTTTACACATGCACATCTGCCCGAAACCTAGGGAATTCCAAACTCTGGGAGTGGGGTACAACAGTCTTTGTTTTAGTAAGCAGACATATGACTCAGTTTTAATGTCATTGTTCAGAGGTGGCCAGGAGGGTGTTTTGGGCACTTTGGTTTTGGAATAGCCAAGCGCCAAGCACTGTAACTCTTCTGACCCAATCAAAGGGCACTTTGGCAGACTCAGCACTGGCACTATGACATTTCTGTTTTATAAAGATCTATAGCAGCCTGAGTAGAGAATTGCATCAACAGCAGGCCTGCATCCCCTATAGCACTGGTTTTCAACTGGGGTGATTTTGACCCTCAGGAGACATTTGGCAATGTCTGGAGACAGCAGCTTGGTAGAGGCGGGAGGTAGTAGCATGTAGTAGGTAGAAGCCAAGGATGTTGTTAAACATCCTACAATGCACAAGACAACTCAACAACCAAGAACTGTCTGGCCCCAAATGTCAAAAGCACCGAGGGTGAGAAATCCTGCCAGGCTTGGTTACCAGCCTTAGTTGCTAGAATCATCAGACTCTGTGCTCTCCCTACTAGGTGTGCATGTCAGCCAGGATATGCTAGGTTATGCTGTGTCAACAAAAAATTCCAAAACCTTAATCAAAAAAAATTAATTTGTTACTCATGCTGCATTCCAACACAGGTTGAGATGTTCATCACAGTCAAAACAGGGACCCAGGCTGACGGAGACTTCATTCCAAAACATGCTTCCACAAACCACTGCAGTAGAAGGAAGGGAAGAACAAATCAAGTACTGGCTCTTAAAGGCTTCCAAAAGGAAGTGAAACATGTCATTTCTGCTTACGTTTCACTGACAAAGAAAGTAACTTGGCCACTTCTTCAGGGGAGCAAAAACATATCCACTACGTGCTCAGAAGAACCAGGATTTTTTTTTTTTTTAAGAGCTCTAATGACTATTGCATAGTGAATACCCATCTGATTAATTTCTTACATTATATAAGCCTTGTAATGGTTAAGGTTGTGTGTTAACTTGGCTGGGCCATGATTCTTAGTGGTTTGGGAGTTATGATGTCATTTAGCAGCTATGCAATGATGTAATCACCTCTGTAATGAAATCTGTTATAACGTAATCACCTCCATGATGAGATCTGTTATGAGCAGCCAATCAGTTGAAAGGGAGTTTCTGTGGTGATGTGGCCTGCACCCAATATAGGTGGACTTTCTGGCAAGGATCACTGGGTTTTTGCTTACTCTGGATCCTGCAGCTGGCTCCTGTTGATCTGACCTCCGGTTGTTGGGACTTGAGCTAACAGCTTACCTGCAGTCTTACCTACTGATCTTGGGATTCTTCAGCCTCTGCAGCCTGTGAGCCAGAGCACTGCTATCTGACCTGCCAATCATGAGTTTCACCAGCCCCTGCAGCTACGCAAGTCAGGAGAAGCCTCCAGTCTGACTCACAGACTTGGGACTTTCCAGCCTCTACAACCATGTGAGCCATTTCCTTGACATAAATCTCTCTCTGTATATTTTTTGGACCCGTGGTGGTACAGTGGTTAAGGGCTCGGCTGCTAACCAAAAGGTTGGCAGTTCAAATCCACCAGCTGCTCCTCAGAAACCCTATGGGGAAGTTCTGCTCTATCCTATAGGGTCACTATGAGTCGGAGCCAACTCAGTGGCAGCTAACAACACATATGTGTATATTTATACACTTCACTGGTTTTGCTTCTCTAGAGAACCCAGCCTAAGACAATCCTCCAGGACCTCAGAAAATTGCGGGGAGGGAACACGTAGAGGGAAATACTTTTTTTTTTTTTTTTTCCCGGTATGGGATTTAAGGTCTAGTCTGAGTAATTAGTTGAAAAGAAAATAAGTGATCACATTTGTGCCCAGTGTGTAGGGCAGGGCATTAAAGTCACATTTTGAGACACATCACAAACACACAGTAGAATGGAGGCAGAATAAACTGAAACCAAACTGGTTGCTGTCAGGTCAGTTCTGACTCATGACAACCTTATGTGTGTTAGAGTAGAACAGTTCCATATGGTTCTCAAGGCTGGGACCTTTCAGAAGCAGACTTCAGGTCTGTCTGCTGAGGTGCCTCTGGTTGAGTTTGAACAGCCAACGTTTTGGTTAGTTGTTGAGTGCTTAACTGTTTGTGCCACCCAGGGACTCCTTGGAGGAAGAATAAGGGTGGTCAATTCTACCTAGCTAGGGTCAGGAAAGGTTTTAATTAGTGAATTGCCTTTAACTGAGTCTTAAATATGAGTTCAGTGTTCACCAAGCGAAACAAATTCTCCCACCAAGGGAGCTTAATAAAATTACAGAAACATCAAACAGTTGGGACTGTTTGTGGAAACTGCCATGAGGTGCTTATAGGCAACAGATGGGCAATGGCAACAGGTGAGTCCGAGCAAGTGGGGAAGAAACACATCACAGACGGTCTCATATGGTCATGGTAGATTTGGACTTCATCCTAAAGGCAGTACAGAGTTATTAAAGGGTGTTAGTCTGCGAACTGATGTGATTTAGCTTTTAGAAAAATTACTCAGAAGCTCTGTGCAAAGTGAGATCAATTAGGAGACAATTCCCGTAGTCCAAGGAAGAGATGATGAGGGCTTGATGGGAAGGAATCAGTTATGAGAAATGACATTAAGGACTGAGATCCTGCCTTTCTAGCCCTTTTCTGGTTCCTCCGTCTGGCTTTAGCAGTTGGGGTGTCACGGTGCTCACTGCTGGACCCTCTTCTCCACCTCCCCACTCCCTTTGTAGTCCCATCTAGTCTGCAGATATTAAATGCCAGCCATATGCTGATGACTTCCAAATTCATCTCTCCAGCCCCTGCAGTCAGACTTGAATAGCTAACTACTAACTGATGTCTTCACTTTATGTGCCTAAGCGCAATCTCAAATTGTTTGTGTCCAAAAACGCTGAAAATGACCATTTCATAACTCCTAAAGAAATAATTGTCTCCATAATGGTACAGACTTCCAAGATGAGAGACAATGAAGGGATAAAAGAATGTGTTTAGTATAAAAACCCATTGCTGCTGAGTTGATTCTGACTCAGCGACTGATAATGGTACAAACATCCAAGATGAGAGACAATGAAGGGATAAAAGAATGTGTTTAGTATAAAAATCTATTGCTGCTGAGTTGATTCTGACTCATAGTGACCCTATAGAACCGAGTAGAACTGCCCCCTAAGGTTTCCAAGGAGCGGCCGGTGGATTTGAACTGTCGACCTTTTGGTTAGCAGCCTGAGCTCTTAGCTGCTGTACCGTCAGGGCCTGTTTGTATTTAGTATACATCTTAAAATGTAGGTTCTCATGCAACCTTTATTTAGAGATGACCATAGGCCAGTGGTTCTCAGCCGAAGACCATTTTGTCCCCCAGGGGACATTTGGCAGTGTCTGGAGACAGTTTTGGTTGTTACAACTGGGGTTGGGATAGAGTGCTCCAGGCATTTAGTGCGTAGAGACCAGGCATGTTGCTAAACATCCTACAGGGCAGACAGCCCCCACACAAAGAATTACCCAGCCCAAAATACGGAGGTTGAGAAACCCTGCCGTAGGCACCCAAATGCAAGCACAGAGAAGGCAGGGACTGGGATTGGTTCGCTGACTCTGAGCTTGACCTAGTTCCTGGCACATGGCAAGTGTGCAAATATTTGATTATCCCTTTTATATTATGTATGCCTCCAGAATCCTGGAAAATTGAGGAGAGGGAGCAAAGAGAAATAGCGGGTTTTGAGCTGAAGCTCAGAAGAAAGATCTTAGAAAGAATTTATAAATGTGTGTTATTAGGATAAAAAAACCAAACCCATTGCCGTTGAGTCGATTCTAACTTATAGTGATCCTAGAGGACAGGGTGGAACTGCCCCATGTGGTTTCCAAGGAGTGGCTAGTGGATT